TTGGAGAATCTTTAAATGGTCTAACTCCCTGACTAGTGATGCCATTGCTAAAATAACAGGAATTCTTTACATTGCCTAAATTCATTGTCAGTGCAGTATTCAGTCAGGTTCAGTGAACAAGCTCTATTCATTAATCATATGTTGAGAAAGGATACATATATATATGTATATATATATTTTTTTTCCCTTTTCCTTTTTTTTTATTTGATTTATATATTTATTTATTTTCATAGTTGACTTCTTCCTTTTTCCAGGTTTCGTAAGCTTTGACAACCCTGCCTCAGCTCAGGCTGCAATCCAGGCGATGAATGGCTTCCAGATTGGCATGAAGCGTCTAAAGGTTCAGCTCAAGCGACCCAAGGATGCCAATAGACCCTACTAACGGCCGCACTCAGTAGGGGAGACCAGGTGAGCGATGAGAGACACTTCTCTATATCTGGAGGGATTTTAATTTTCTGCAGTTAGGAATAAGATGGGTTTGTAATGTGTGTAGTATTTTTACATATATGTACAGTGTGACTATGCATATATATGTAGGTAAATATATAAAGATATAGATATAGAATTTTTTTTTCTGGTTTGTATACTTGGATTACATAAAATATGTTATCTGATGCTTTTTAGCAAAAACAAAAAACTCTGCTCATTAAAACTGAAAAAATCTTATTACTCAAATTACATTTAGCATTAAGCTTTACTTCACTTTAAAATTGAGGTAAATTAAATGCACAGGGCATCTTTATCATGAAGAGGACATAGAGATAAATTCTATAATGAAGTATTTTCACTACTTTCCTTCTTTCCAGGGGTATCCAACGGTGAATTGGTTCTTGAAGAAGATGGCTCCGTGTTTATCATAGCTTGAATATGACATTTATATCAAGTATTAGGAATCCAAAGCTTAGGCGATAAGAAGAAAAAAAAAAAAAAGAAAAAAAAAAGCGAAGAAAAATACTAGAAAAAATTTAACTTCCTCTGCAAGATGAACATTATTCCCATATTTCTATACAACAAGTGCTACATATACGAGTCCAGAGAGCTTGAGTTGCTACACTAGCGTCAGAAGGCCTCATTGGTGGCAAAAGTGAGACAGTCCCTGAAGAACAGGCTGTCATAATATTTAATGCTTAAAGTGGTATAGTAAGTCCACTGTTGAGGCCTGGGCTGCTGTGTACACAAACTGTATATACGTTGTACCTAGCTGTGGCACGGTACCAAAAAGGACTGGGGCTATATGTCCCTCTCCACTCACATGTTGATAGCCATGTTATTACTGAGAGTATGGAAACAATATTTTTAATATTAATAAGCCTTCTGTTAAAGTTATATTACGTATCATAATATTTCAACTATATCATATTGTTAAGAATAGTAGTATACTTAAGACACGCTCTATCAGCTGTACGCCATTTTGTGCGAGTTGGCCGGGTGATTTGGATCTCCCAGCACAGGATGTGTCCTAACCCGCCCCGCTGACGGGTTGCTCCTTCAGGGTACTAAGTGTTGCGTGTCTCGTGTCTGTTGCCTCACGCCCTGCGCTGTGCCCGGGCACCCACGCAGCCACCACTCCCTGGCTGTCGTCTGTCATGGCTCGGTATTCGCCCATGTTTTTACCTGGTAGTCTGTGGGCGTGCTGTCCACAAGTGCTTAGCTCGAAACTGGGCCTCCATAGCAGTGACGCCGTGTGCACTGGTGCTCCTCACGCCATCTTGTGTGTGCCGTGTGGCCGGGCGGGGTTCCAGGACCCCACCAGACCAGGGCGTTGAGGTCTCTTCCAGCTCCACAGTTGGACAACCAAAGTGATGGCCTCAAAGGGTTCAGAGGCCCCTAGTCTAGTGTCAAACTAGAGGATTAGCTTCTCTATACCTGTAGATGCCTATAGATAAATAGTTTAAAGCGCTAGATAGCTTTCAAGTATAGAGGAAGTCTCATAAAGACACATTGTATATAAGCTGAAGGTAAAATTTATAGGACTATTGACCCTGCATTTGATCATGTGTACAGTGGATAGCATATTCACTAGACTAAGGGTACTAACGCTTATCTCCAGTCAATTTTATATCATGATATATTTTTAAATCATTTGTATCCAATGGTTTAATAAGATTTGTGCATTTCTTTGTGGCTTAGATTTTTAGACATCTGTATGTTTGTCAGATCAAAGTGGCATTATTTTCTAGTCAAGGTGTACTTGTTATTTTTTTAAAAGATTACAGTTTGCAGCGATCTTTCATCTATGATCTCAGACATTCCATCTAGTCATTATTATTGTTTTACCTGCAGTCTTGGGTATTGATTACTTCTCTTCTCTTATAATACTATATGTCATACATACACATAACTTTTGAACCATTGACAGAAATGTGCCAAGAGAGTTCAAGATGATTTCTCCATTACCTGGTCTATTTTATTCATTTCATATATTTACATGTTATACACCCTCGTGGTTTAGGAGTAAGAATTACTAATTTCTGAAAAAAAAAATGAAGCTGTTTCTCTG